AGGAACACCCCAGCGCATAGATTCGATCCGTCATCACGGCTCCTGTGGATTTGTGCATTGATAAATCACATTATTGGGATTTATCTGTGTATATGAGGCCATGTGATATGTGAATTACCCTCCAAATACACATATACTGGACAGAGAACAAGAGAATAACCTTGTAATATGCTGATTAAGACGCGAACTACTCAATAAGAGATTGTTAAGCACGGAAGGAGAAAATTTACGATGTAAATCAGCTTTATTTACATCGTAAAATAACACAATCTAGGGGAATATTATTTACATCCGGGATATTAATCGTCCATAGAAAACGGGTCATCAGCAATTATATTATACTCTCGGAAACTTTAATATATATTCAAGTTTCCGAATATATTGAAAAAAATATATTATACCTAAACTATGGGATCTTGATGGAAATCCTAACAGCAAAAGATACCAACTTTCAGGAGTGCGGAAGATAACCTCAAGATATCAACACATCAGATATCAACACATATTAACACACAAGATATCAGATAACCATCAAGATATCAAGATCCGAGGCTAGGAAACAGCTCAACATTGCAATAATCTCTAATCAAAGGTTTCAATGTTGTGCAACATTGAAACACATTTTTAGTTTGTGAAAAACAGAGCTAATGTTGAGGTGATTTACTCAGTGCTAGTCAGTCATTGTCTAAATGTTCTCAATGTTAGATTCTAGAGTGAACGTTCTAGATTCTAGAGTGAAATTCTAGATTCACTCTAGATTCTAGAGTGAAACGTTCACTAGAGTGAACGTTTCGACACAAACAACAAGCATTAGAGTGAAAATTTCTCCAGTCACAAGCACTAGAGTGAGAGTTTCTCCACTCACAAGCACTAGAGTGAAAGTTTCAGCACAAACAATAGCACTAGAGTGAAAGTTTCAACACAAACAACAGCACTAGAGTGAAGGTTTTTCCACAAACAAGCACTTGAGTGAACGTTTCTCCACACACAAGCACTAGAGTGAAAGTTTCTCCACTCACAAGCACAAGAGTGAAAGTTTCGACACAAACAACAGCACTAGAGTGAAAGTTTCTCCACAAATAAGCACTAGAGTGAAAGTTTCTCCACAAACAAGCACTAGAGTGAAAGTTTCACCACAAACAGCAGCACTAGAGTGAAAGTTTTAACATAAACAACACCACTAGAGTGAAAGTTTCAACACAAACAACAACACTAGAGTGAAAGTTTCGACCCAAACAACAGCACTAGAGTGAAAGTTTCGACCCAAACAACAGCACTAGAGTGAAACTTTCTCCACAAACAACAGCACTAGAGTGAAAGTTTCTCCACTCACAAGCACAAGAGTGAAAGTTTCGACCCAAACAACAGCACTAGAGTGAAAGTTTCTCCACAAACAAGCACTAGAGTGAAAGTTTCGACACAAACAACACCACTAGAGTGAAAGTTTCACCACAAACAGCAGCACTAGAGTGAAAGTTTCTCCACAAACAACACCACTAGAGTGAAAGTTTCTCCACAAAACACAGCGGCTGAGTGAAAACATAACACAACCTTCAGAGATGCTACAAAAATATTATTCAGCACTCTAAAATGCATAAAAAAACGACGCTTTCATAAATGAAAAGTAAATGATAGAGAGCAGAATGTACAATAAATGTAGCAAAGATAAAAATAACGTGTATATATATATATATATATATATATATATATATATATATATATATATATATATATATATATATGGTTGTTGGAGCAGTAATGGTAGTAACAGTAGTTTGAATGGTCAGTCTGCGATATTGTTAATTACTCAACTGCCCTTCGTTCAGTAGTTATCTCACACTTCAGTTAATCTCTGAATCAAATTGGTATAGCCAACGATGCTTTGATTCACACTGATTCATTCAGTGTGAATCAGCGTAACTAAAGCATTGATATTGTCAATCATTCTGGATCACTCACTGAAGCTCTGAATGAAACTGATTCAGACAGCGATACAGTGAATCAAATTGGTTCAATCAGTGATTCTGTGAATCATACTGATTCGTCCAGTGATTCTGTGAATCACACATTCATCCAGCCATTAGAGATGTTGTAAAACAACTAGGAGTTGTGATTTGGATTCCAATTCCAGTTTGTTAGTAGAGGAGTTGTTAGTTGTGAATCTTGAAGATCTTATTCCTCTGAGGTTGTGAATAACAAGGTGGAGGTTGTATTCCCATGTAAATACAACCTGTGTTGTTTTACAAGCCGTTGAGGATTTAAGTATTATGAAACGCAGGTTGTGAAATTACAAATATTTCCGTTGTGTTTTGTGTGAGACTTTGTGAGTGATTGTGAGACTAGAGGTTGTGATGAGTTGTGAAAATAATTCTGAGGAGAGAGGAGGAACTATTTTATAGGTTGTGAGTGATTGTGAGAGAATGTGAGGCTGCAGGTTGTGATGGATTGTGAAGCAGAAGATGAAAGAAATAATTAGGCATTAAAAAAACTTAATGTAATCTAAATTACGAATAGTTGTGAATGGTTGTAGTTTAGAAATTGTATTGTGCACCTGTGAAGGATTGTTAGTAGTGTGGGAATAGTTGTGCAAAGTTGTGAAGGGTTGTGAGTTGATAGAGAATGCATGTGTGCTATTGTAAAGGGTTGTGAGTTCTGAGGGAATGGTTGTGTGTAGTTGTGAAAGGTTACGAGTAGTTTGTGAATAATTGTGAGTAGTTGTAAAAGGTTGTAGATAAGTTCAAGGGAATGAGAGCAACTGCAAATAATGAGTAGTTGTGATAATTTATGAGTACTAGAGTTGTGTAACCAGCTGAACATTATTGTGAGCCCTTGGGAAGGGTTATGAGCAGTTGCAAAAGAGTTGTAAGCAATAAGGGAAGTGTTACGTGCGGTTGTGAAGAGTTTACAGCAATTGTGAAGGATTGTGAGGAGTTGTGAACTGTTGTGAGCAGTTGAGAAAGGTTGTGAGCAGATGAGTAGGATTGTGAGCACATAACAAAGGATTGTAAAGCAACATGGTGGCAGGAAAATCTTAGGGTATTAGTGAGCAAAATAATTCTTGATTGTGAGAAAGTTGTGAGACAAGAAACATCACGGTTGTGAACCGGGTGTGAGATAGTCTGCAAGAGTTGTGATCCCAAACAGAGAAATCAGTCGTGATAAAATTTTTAGATATTGGGAGATGATTTAGTGTATATGAGATGAGAGAGAGGGTGTATGTGTGAGAGAGAGAGAGAGAGAGACAGACAGACAGACAGACAGACAGAGAGAGACAGAGACAGAGAGAGAGACAGAGAGAGAGAGAGAGAGCTAGCTCGGACGTCCACACTTTAAAGATGTTGGGGCTAGTCGCTTCTGCAGCAGCGGGCTTGCAGCAGCATCCAAACCCCCTCCCCCCCCACCACACCCCCACCACAACCCCACAACACAACCCCACAACCACAATCCTCTTTACCTGTAATCTGGCTGGAAGAATCCACTGACAGAGCAGTCCACGTCGCACTATCTCTCCCCCAGCACCACCGAAATCCGGGTCACACACTAGTACACACACCACGTAACCCCTGTTGACAAAGGGGGGGTATAAAGGGGGAAGGGGGAGGGGGTGCTGAGCGCTGGAGGGAGGGGGTTGACAGATGGTTGACGGAGCAGAGGGCGCAAGCGGCTCCGCAAAGGATATACAAGTCCTAGTCGCACGGGTCCAGAAGCACAACTGGAGCTCTGCTGGCCTTTCCGTTTTCTCTTTACGGCATCCCAGAGCTTGAGAGAGAGAGAGAGAGAGAGAGAGAGAGAAGTAGGGAGAGAGAGAGAGAGAGAAGAATGGCTGCGCGTGGAGAGATATAGGACGAGGGAAGTGAACACATGAATGAAGGAGAAAGACAAAGATGATAATTGGACCTGTGGAAAGTGATAAGAAAGTGAAAGAAAGAAGAGAAACACGACTTGCGAGAGAGAGAGAGAGAGAGAGAGAGAGAGAGAGAGAGAGAGAGAGAGAGAGAGAGAGAGAGAGAGAGAGAGAGAGAGAGAGAGAGAGAGAGAGAGAGAGAGAGATGCCATCGCATAGACTGACAAATAAACCAACCGATGAAACAGATAAGCATAAGAGCGCTCTTCCAGTGAGAAGGGGAAGGTGGTCTTGTGAGAGGAGGGAGAGAGAGGGGAGAGAGCCCGGTAAAGAGAGAGAGAGGGAAAACTGAGAAAGAAGTACCAAGAAACCACATACGCAAGAGAAAAGTAGGTCACACAAGAGAGGGGAAATCAGGCTGCCTTAAAGCGCCCTTGGACAAGAGAGGAGACGAAACAGGAGAAAGAGAGACAATGAACAAGGAATAAGACAAAAGAGAACATACAAAGAGACAAAGAACATAGACGAAAAGCCACAGCTTCTAAACAAATCCATTAGCAGAAGCATAAACAATTATATGATTGATCATATCAAAAACATGGTTGAATTGAAACGCATTCCAGAAGGGCAAGATAATTAAAAAATAATTCAAGATAATTAAAAAATAATTCAAGATAATTCGTGCATGATAATTCAAACATTAGACAGAGTAGCAATAGATAACTTTAGTAAGTATTGACAGACAAGGAGACAGAGACTTTTAAAAGACGGGTTGCAATTGACGGAAGGTTTTATAACTAACGAAGGAATTCAGACGTTAGCTGACAGGCGGAAGTAGTTGAACGAGTGACTGGCTGACAGACGCTGCCTGACAGATTAACAGACGGTGTCACGCTGTCAGCCAACGTAGTCTGTGTCTGTGAGTGCAGAGGAAGACACAGACATGTTGACAACGGTTACACAGACAGACTGTGAACGCTCTCGACCTCAACACCCCCATCAAAGCTTCCACAAATTCACTAATTCATCATTTTCAAGAAGCAAAATCATCATGTCGACCATGATGTTTGAACACCAAGAAGATGAATACTGGATAAAACAGAGCACACACACACACGAAGCGAGGAACTAAAACAAACCTGATTGGCAACAGAAGATGGAGTTGAGATCAAAACGAAGAAGAGAAACAGAAAAAACTCAAAGAAAACCAAAAAAGCCACAGAAAATCAGAATCATCATAGAAAGACTCAAAGATACTAAACAAAATTCCAGAATGATGGAAAAAGGCGAAATCTTCCGTCCATTGGAAGGAAACAATGTAATAAAGATGGGAGGAGAGTGAAATTACAATAAAGAGAGAGGTGCAGGAAGAGAGCAGAGGAGGGCTGGGTGCCTCTCTGTGGGCTCCATTGATTATTTTCACCCCTTTGGCTATCAAAATTGTCATAGGGAAAATTAGGAGGACGAGGGCTGGTCTTGGGTCTATCTCCCTTAACGTGTCACCTCTGACCTTAGTCCACACCTGTGGAGGGTTTAGCATGATGGGGGAGAGGTCTCTGTGGTCAGTGGCCATCCTGTGGCTGTGGCCAGCGGCCATCCTGTAGCTGTGGTCAGCGTCCATCCTGTAGCTGTGGTCAGTGTCCATCCTGTGTCTGTGGTCAGTGTCCATCCTGTGGCTGTGGCCAGCGGCCATCCTGTAGCTGTGGTCAGTGTCCATCCTGTGGCTGTGGCCAGCGGCCATCCTGTAGCTGTGGTCAGTGTCCATCCTGTGGCTGTGGTCAGTGTCCATCCTGTGGCTGTGGCCAGCGGCCATCCTGTAGCTGTGGTCAGTGTCCATCCTGTGGCTGTGGCCAGCGGCCATCCTGTAGCTGTGGTCAGTGTCCATCCTGTGGCTGTGGTCAGCGGCCATCCTGTAGCTGTGGTCAGTGTCCATCCTGTAGCTGTGGCCAGCGGCCATCCTGTAGCTGTGGTCAGTGTCCATCCTGTGGCTGTGGCCAGCGACCATCCTGTGGTTGTGGCCAGCGGCCATCCTGTGGCTGTGGCCAGTGTCCATCCTGTGGCTGTGGCCAGCGGCCATCCTGTGGCTGTGGCCAGCGACCATCCTGTACCTGTGGTCAGTGTCCATCCTGTGGCTGTGGCCAGCGACCATCATGTGGCTGTGGCCAGCGACCATCCTATGGCTGTGGCCAGCGACCATCCTATGGCTGTGGCCAGTGTCCATCCTGTGGCTGTGGCCAGCGACCATCCTGTGGCTGTGGCCAGTGTCCATCCTGTGGCTGTGGCCAGCGACCATTCTGTGGCTGTGGCCAGCGACCATCCTATGGCTGTGGCCAGCGACCATCCTATGGCTGTGGCCAGTGTCCATCATGTGGCTGTGGCCAGCGACCATCCTATGGCTGTGGCCAGCGACCATCCTATGGCTGTGGCCAGCGACCATCCTATGGCTGTGGCCAGCGACCATCCTATGGCTGTGGCCAGTGTCCATCCTGTGGCTGTGGCCAGCGACCATCCTGTGGCTGTGGCCAGTGTCCATCCAATGGCTGTGGCCAGCGACCATCCTGTGGCTGTGGCCAGTGTCCATCCTATGGCTGTGGCCAGCGACCATCCTGTGGCTGTGGCCAGTGTCCATCATGTGGCTGTGGCCAGCGACCATCCTGTGGCTGTGGCCAGTGTCCATCCTATGGCTGTGGCCAGCGACCATCCTGTGGCTGTGGCCAGTGTCCATCATGTGGCTGTGGCCAGCGACCATCCTATGGCTGTGGCCAGCGACCATCCTATAGCTGTGGCCAGTGTCCAGCATGTGGCTGTGGCCAGCGACCATCCTGTGTCTGTGGCCAGTGTCCATCCTATGGCTGTGGCCAGCGACCATCCTGTGGCTGTGGCCAGCGACCATCATGTGGCTGTGGCCAGCGACCATCCTATGGCTGTGGCCAGCGACCATTCTGTGGCTGTGGCCAGCGACCATTCTGTAGCTGTGGCCAGTGACCATCCTGTAGCTGTGGCCAGCGACCATCCTGTGGCTGTGGCCAGTGACCATTCTGTGGCTGTGGCCAGCGACCATCCTGTAGCTGTGGCCAGCGACCATTCTGTAGCTGTGGCCAGCGACCATCCTGTGGCTGTGTCCAGCGACCATCCTGTAGCTGTGGCCAGCGACCATCCTGTGGCTGTGGCCAGCGACCATCCTGTAGCTGTGGCCAGCGACCATCCTGTGGCTGTGGCCAGCGACCATTCTGTAGCTGTGGCCAGCGACCATTCTGTAGCTGTGGCCAGCGACCATCCTGTGGCTGTGGCCAGCGACCATCCTGTAGCTGTGGCCAGCAACCATCCTGTGGCTGTGGCCAGCGACCATTCTGTAGCTGTGGCCAGCGACCATTCTGTAGCTGTGGCCAGCGACCATTCTGTAGCTGTGGCCAGCGACCATTCTGTAGCTGTGACCAGCGACCATTCTGTAGCTGTGGCCAGCGACCATTCTGTAGCTGTGACCAGCGACCATTCTGTAGCTGTGGCCAGCGACCATTCTGTAGCTGTGGCCAGCGACCATTCTGTAGCTGTGGCCAGCGACCATCCTGTGGCTGTGGCCAGCGACCATTCTGTAGCTGTGGCCAGCGACCATTCTGTGGCTGTGGCCAACGACCATCCTGTGGCTGTGGCCAGCGACCATTCTGTGGCTGTGGCCAGCGACCATTCTGTAGCTGTGGCCAGCGACCATTCTGTAGCTGTGGCCAGCGACCATTCTGTAGCTGTGGCCAGCGACCATCCTGTGGCTGTGGCCAGCGACCATTCTGTAGCTGTGGCCAACGACCATCCTGTGGCTGTGGCCAGCGACCATTCTGTAGCTGTGGCCAACGACCATCCTGTGGCTGTGGCCAGCGACCATCCTGTGGCTGTGGCCAGCGACCATTCTGTAGCTGTGGCCAGCGACCATCCTGTGGCTGTGGCCAGCGACCATTCTGTAGCTGTGGCCAGCGACCATCCTGTAGCTGTGGCCAGCGACCATTCAGTGGCTGTGGCCAACGACCATCCTATGGCTGTGGCCAGCGACCATCCTGTGGCTGTGGCCAGCGACCATTCTGTAGCTGTGGCCAGCGACCATTCTGTAGCTGTGGCCAGCGACCATTCTGTAGCTGTGGCCAGCGACGATTCTGTGGCTGTGGCCAGCGACCATTCTGTAGCTGTGGCCAACGACCATCCTATGGCTGTGGCCAGCGACCATCCTGTGGCTGTGGCCAGCGACCATTCTGTAGCTGTGGCCAGCGACCATTCTGTAGCTGTGGCCAGCGACCATTCTGTGGCTGTGGCCAACGACCATCCTATGGCTGTGGCCAGCGACCATCCTGTGGCTGTGGCCAGCGACCATTCTGTAGCAGTGGCCAGCGACCATCCTGTGGCTGTGGCCAGTGACCATTCTGTAGCTGTGGCCAGCGACCATCCTGTGGCTGTGGCCAGCGACCATCCTGTGTGCTCCTGTGGTGGCCAGCGACCATCCTATTCACTCACTTGACCATTCTGTAGCTGTGGCCAGCGACCATCCTGTGGCTGTGGCCAGCGACCATCCTGTAGCTGTGGTCAGCGACCATCCTGTGGCTGTGGCCAGCGACCATCCTATTCACTCACTTGGTACCGAACCCACAACACATGGTACTGTACCTACACAGATATATATATAGATACATCTGTATCTACATATCTTCATATATTTTTACAATACTTTTCTTAGAGTTCCCATATTATTTTAAGTACTCAGTATATTGTGATATTTCTATTGAAAACTATATTATTTTGTATTGCCAGACTATATAATATAAAGTAAATATTTCTATGCACAATGGCATCACAATAGTTTGATGTATCTAGACAAATCTTTGGACTATGGCCATAGAATTGAACCCGACTTATCGCCTTGTAGTTTTGGAAACTCCAGATTGGAATGGTTGAATGTGTATATGTAAATATTTAAGTGTTTGTGATTCAGTTTCAATGGTTTTGAATCTGGGTAACGAGATATGTCCCGAATTTACATGAATTTACGTAAATTTGGCTGAAGGTTGACATCTATGTAGCGGCCACGAAGGAAACAGGAAGCTGGCGGCTTGTCAAAGGTCCTTGCATTTGTCCTCAGAATTTTTTTTCGCTGGATTTTGAACTGTTCTAATGACTAGTCATTTACCACTTTGGCAGGTAGGCAGTTCCATGAGTTTATTATGCTATGGGGTAAGGAAACAGAAAATGCCTTATTTTCTGTCCTACATTGTGGCTTGTTAAGCTTGAAGCCGATGACCATTGCCTGGTTGATACCTGGTTGATGGGGTTCTGGGAGTTCTTCTACTGCCCAAGCCCGGCCCGAGGCCAGGCTTGGCTTGTGAGAGTTTGGTCCACCAGGCTGTTGCTTGGAGCGGCCCGCAGGCCCACATACCCACCACAGCCCGGTTGGTCCGGCACTCCTTGGAGGAAACAATTTAGTTTCCTCTTGAAGATGTCCACGGTTGTTCCTATAATATTTCTGATGCTCGCTGGGAGGGTGTTGAACAAACGCGGACCTCTGATGTTCATACAGTGTTCTCTGATTGTGCCTCTGGCACCCCTGCTCTTCACTGGACCTCTGATGTTTATACAGTGTTCTCTGATTGTGCCTATAGCACCCCTGCTCTTCAATGGACCTCTGATGTTTATACAGTGTTCTCTGATTGTGCCTATGGCACCCCTGCTCTTCACTGGACCTCTGATGTTCAAACAGTATTCTCTGATTGTGCCTATGGCACCTCTGCTCTTCACTGGACCTCTGATCTTCATACAGTATTCTCTGATTGTGCCTATGGCACCTCTGCTCTTCACTGGACCTCTCATGTTTATACAGTGTTCTCTGATTGTGCCTATGGCACCTCTGCTCTTCACTGGACCTCTGATGTTCATACAGTGTTTTCTGATTGTGCCTATGGCACCCCTGCTCTTCACTGGACCTCTGATGTTCATACAGTGTTCTCTGATTGTGCCTATGGCACCTCTGCTCTTCACTGGTTCTATTCTGCATTTTCCTCCTAATGTTTGCTGTACATGTGACCTTTTAAAGAAATGGTCTGGATTAAAATCTTCCAGTTTTCCTTCCTTGTGTTTAGCGAGTAAATGTCCACTCCAGGCTTTTGTTTAATTCAGGTGATGAAGCTTGGCCATCTTTAGTCACATCTCTCATCTAATGACCTCGTACGACTGATTCACTCTCAATAGGTTTGATTATAGTCGTAGTGGCTTGCGCTTTCCCCTTCATAGTTCCCTTCCCTTCTCCATAGGTTTGCTGGCCCTTGACCCGAAGCACCAATGAAACCCTTAGCCCCTAAGTCCGCTCTTCAAGCCCCTAAGGACTCGTATCTACAGATCCTTATCCTGGTCTCTTCACTGTGTTATATAGGGATAACACTTGGTGCTTTCTCCTAATACTTCCCTTCCCTTTCCCCTGATCTGCCCTTCAATCCCTAATTGTTCCTAAGCCCTTCAACCCCTCAGTGCCCCAGGTCCCTGAGCCCCACAAAGGTTATCTTGAGGTTATCTTGAGATGATTTCGGGGCTTTTTAGTGTCGCCGCGGCCCGGTCCTCGACCAAGCCTCCAACCCCAGGAAGCAGCCCGTGACAGCTGACTAACACCCAGGTACCTATTTTACTGCTAGGTAACAGGGGGCATAGGATGAAAAAAACTCTGCCCATTGTTTCTCGCCGGCGCCAGGGATCGAACCCGGGACCACAGGATCACAAGTCCAGCGTGCTGTCCGCTCGGCCGACCGGCTCCCTAGAGTGACAGACCTTCAACATAGAACAACAATTATTCCCCAAACGGCTCCTGATACCGCTATTTATGAGTTGTTATACAAAAAGGTTAATAAAAGGAGTGTCTGAGGAAGAGCCGAGGGCAGGATTAGAGAGTGAAGAATTGATTGTATACATTGTGAGTTAAAGGCTTCATTTAATTTGCTGATATACTATAGATAAAATTTCAGTCCTATACAGCTATACTGATAAAATTATGTATCAAAATAAATCACTTATTTGATAAATAAGACAGGTAATTATCCAACCACAGTAATTAATTACTAAATTTTGTATAAAAATTATATTAACACATAATGAAATGTGGGTCTGTATTCCCCTAGAGTTATAATGAAATGTAGGTTTGAATTCCCCTAGAGTTACAATGAAATGTGGGTCTGAATTGCCCTAGAGTTATAATGAAATGTGGGTTTGAATTTCCCTAGAGTTCTTTGCAAAGATCTCTAGTATCATTGCAAGATGGAGCTCCACACAAGCAGAACTAGCACTACCACAACTAGCTACCACTACATTAAAAAACATTGGAGGAGGAATAATATTCTGTGATTCAAAGTCTGCTCTTCAAGCAATCGAAAACTTCTCCTGGAAGATCGACAGCAAGAAGCTCATACTCCCAATTATAAATGACCTAATTGATGCACAGAGTAAAGGGTTTCGAATCTCCTTTGTATGGATACCATCACACACAAATATAACCCATCATAATGACACAGACATTGCAGCCAAAATAGCGTGTGACAAAGATAAAGTTGAATTAGATCTAGGTATCCCCATCTCTGCTGTCAAAACTGTATTGTTCCAAACACTCTGGTCTGATAGGAGAGAAATTACTGACTCCCAACGACCTGAAAGCACCAGTATAAAAAGCTATGATTTGTTCAGGTCTGAAACCTATGTTTATGGGCAGCACAAAACGTGGACCAGACTGTGCGACACAGTGGTTGCCAGGGTCAGGTTGGGTTACCGTTACCTGTGGCAGGTGGCTACCGTTACCTGTGGCAGGTGGCTACCGTTACCTGTGGCAGGTGGCTAGCGTTACCTGTAGCAGGTGGCTACCGTTGCCTGTGGCAGGTGGCTACCGTTACCTGTGGCAGGTGGCTACCGTTACCTGTGGCAGGTGGCTATACCGTTACCTGTGGCAGGTGACTATACCGTTACCTGTGGCAGGTGGCTACCGTTACCTGTGGCAGGTGGCTAGCTTTACCTGTGGCAGGTGGCTACCGTTACCTGTGGCAGGTAGCTACAGGTGACGGATCTCCCAATCCTGAACACTCCAGGTGCAAACTGTGTGAGCAGGAACTGCGGCATGATCTCCCACACTACATCACCGAATGCCCAGTTATTAGACCTTTCAGACCAGTTGGCATGAGGCACCTGGAGCTTTGTAATTACTTTATTACCTCTCGTGTTCTTGAAGATATCCTCATAATGGACTTAGAGTCTGTCAGTGTAGGCTACTGATCACATGGCCCAGTATGACTAACCATCCTGTGTGATGGGGACTTTTAGCATCACGTAGCTAGCCTTTTGACACACACTGTACTCCCCTTCATATAGTCTAGGACACCTGCACAAATGCTGATGTACCAAAATGTGTTCATACACAAATTCATTGCAAATTCCATCCATTGAAGAATCATGAAAACCAGTCACCGAGAAAGATGAAACTTGCTCTTCTGAAAGCTGCCACACGAAGTTAGTAATTATCAGAAGAAGGCTCCACGCCAAGGAGACGAGGTTGGCGCAGTGCCACACTATACAGGTGCCTCCTCCGTCAATAAGCAAAGGTGTCATGAACATTACGTTTAAACCAAAGTCTCAGTTCATTCGTCAAGCGGACACACTCTAACAGTCTGAACGTTTCACTCAAAAATTTACTTGCACTCAGACTCTCCGTGTCAGGTTAATTAGCTGGCTGGACTCTACACAATCAGAACTACCTGTTCATGCACTGGAAACACAGACTTTCTGTGTCTTAAAGTCATGTAAACCATTGCTGTATGATCGACAGCAAGAGCCTTCTAACAGCAATAATCAATAACTTGCTCCCTGCACGGAATAAAGCATTTAGAATATCTTTCAAATAGATATCACCTCACACATATATAATATAACCCATCAAGATGACACATGGATTACAGACAAATGAGTATGTAACAAGGGTGATGCTGAACAAGACAGAGGAGTCCAAATTTCAGCTGTTTAATATGGCTCCAAATATTTCGGTCTGATAGGAGAGAAATCACAGTCTCTAAAGCCTGAAAGCATTAGTATAAAATTTTATTTGTTTAAGTCTGATACCTTTATACATATATTATTAAATATGACTGAAAAAGTAAGATTAATAATTCTAACACGAATTTTCTCAATATTTCTTATGTTTCTTTTCACTGTCGATGGTAATTGAAAAATCAGTTCTCCAAAATTCATTTTTATTTCTAGTCTGACGCCACATTTCAACGCGTTTCGTAATAACTTATTACATTTTCAAAGTCTTTAGTTTACACACACACAACTATAACCTGCAAACACTAAACAGATTTCTTACTATGCTATAATTCAAACGGCTTTTCATTTCATATACCTGCATTTGGGTGTGATACCTTTCTATATACATGAGCACAAAACCTCCACCAACAGTGCGACACAGTGGTTGCCAGAAACAGGTTGGGCTAACGTTCAATC